ACCCGGGTGTCTGTGGGTCTGTGTGTCTGTGTGTCTGTGTGTGCGTCTGTCACGCACTTTCATCTCAAGACCTATAAAAGCCGCGGGGTTGAAATTTCGGGAACTTAATTTACATGCACTTGTCGGCCCCAATCCCCAAAATGGTACGGGCCCAAAATTTTTTTTGGGTAAGTTTGTAACTCGGGGGCCTGAGAAGCTAGAACGTTGAATCTTAAGGTAATGTCCCCCGTCCAACTAAGTATTAATGCGCTCAAACCCATCCCCCGGGTAAGCGTGGTACCCGCGTACAGGCCCGCCAAATTTTTTTTGGGTAAGTTCATAACCCGGGGACCTGAGAAACTAGAACGCTGAAATCTTAGAGGGATGCTTCCCGTCAAATTAGGTTTTAATACACTCAAACCCATACCCCGGGTAACCGCGGTACCTACGTACGGGCCCTGAAAGTTTCTTCCGGGTAAGCTGCTAACTCGGGAATGTGAGAAGCTAGAAGACTGGGATTTCGAAGGGACGTTTCCTGATAGTCCTGGTGGCCAGTCTGAAATTCTTTTAGCTAGAAGCATCTGCCAGAAAAACACGTGCCGTTAGCGACAAAAATCTTCGGAGAGCTATGCAAATAAGACGCATCTTCACGCGGGCAGCCCGCCAATTATTTGAGTGTTGTCTTCAACTTAGCCAGCGTTGAAATGGATTCACTGGTTTGCCGGCGGTATCAATTTACCGAACAAATCTTAGAATGACTGGTTGCTCCAGAAGCGTAGCGGAGACTTCGACCTTTTGTGCGATAACAGTCCCCGCTACACCATACCGCACAAAATACATGTTCTCATGCCTCTATTTGTGTGTGCGTGTGTGTTTGCGCGTGTGTCCGAGAAGGCTTTTTTATGCGTTTTTTTTGCAGCTTTGCAATGCAGAAAGCGCATATTGACGAGGGGTTGTCTGTGTGTGTGTGTGTGTGTGTGTATGTGTGTTCGTCTGTACCGATTTTTCATCTCGAGACGGGCAAAAGCTACGGGGCTGAAACTTTGGGGTTATAATCTACATGCACGTAAGGGCCCTCATCCACAAAATTGGCGCCAAAACCCCCGTGGTACCCGCGTATGGGCCCCCTAAAGTTTTTTTGGGGTCAGTTCATGACTCGAGGATCTGAGAAGCTAGAAGGCTGAAATCTTGGATTAATGTTCCCCGCCCAAGCGGGTATTAGTGGGCTCAAACCCAGCCCCCGGGTAAGCATGGTGCCCCCCTACGAGCCCGCAAAAATTTTTTTCGGGTGAGTTCATAACTCGGGGATCTGAGAAGCTAGAAGGCTGAAATTTTGGGGTAACTTCATAACTCGGGGATCTGAGAAGCTAGAAGGCTGAAATTTTGGGGTAATGTTCCCTGCCCAAGCGTATTAGTGGGCTCAAAACCAGCCCCCGGGTAAGCGTGGTACCCGCGTATGGACCCCCCAAAATTTTTCCGGCGCAAATTCATAACTCGGGGTTCTGAGAAGCTAGAAAGCAGAAATTTTAGGGGAATGTTCCCCGTCCAAGCAGATGCTAGTGGGCTCAAACCCAGTCCCCGGGTAGGCGTGGTACCCGCGTATGGACCCCCAAAGTTTTTCCCGCGCAAATTCATAACTCGGGGTTCTGAGA